TTTGATGTAACATTAATTAGACATTTGTTACACTTAAATGAAAGAAATCATACTTAAAAGTGTTTTCTGTATTGACAAGAAATGATCTCATCTCTACTCTCATCTCTGCTCTCATTTAAATCTTGTAAAACTACAACACACCACCCCTGTTGTTAACCATAGATATCCCATACACATGGTCTTTGGCAGAACTAGATCCAGGTACTATGCAAACTGTAGGTGGAATTAATTGTCTACGGATCTAAATTCCGCTTGGAGATTCTAAAGCTTTAATATCAGATTTTTTTTTTTTAATAACTGTTGTTATTGTTTTTATTAATTGACTCGTCTCTTTGATTATAAGTGTCTGACTTAAAATTTTTGTTTCTTGTATGCTTGTTTTTCTGAGGTCTTTCTCAAAAAAGGTGAATAGAAGGTAAACAATAAATTTCCCCCCCAAAAAAACCTGTGCTATTAAACCAAGGAGAGATTAAATGTGTTTTTTCGCTCAGAGATTTGATATGAAAACAATCAAAACAACATCTATTTGTACCTGGTGTTAAGTTTGATTGGCTGATTGTGTTATCTGTGCAGCTGTGAGATATGTATGGCTGAAATTCATGAAACCATTCATATGGAATAATTCTCATAAATCAATATACCTTAGTATTTCAGTTGCATTAAAAAGCCCTGTAACATTGCTGGAATTGGATTTAGTACTTTAATGCAATGACATGATGAAATGTTGAATTTAATGAGACACTAATAATTATCATATTCGCATTAGAGATTTATTCCCTCACATTACAAGTTTCCAAACAGTAGCCTGAGTACTTAAACATCTTACCCTTAATTCTGCATCCCATGTGAATTTTAATCTATATGTAAATTAGAAAATATGAATGCAGGAGAAATGCACAGATACATGAATCCTCTGATCACGAGATCAATGAAAAGACTGAGCCTGTTACTAATGTGGTGGCAGAAGGGTTGAAGCCTTGCTGTGCTGATATTACTCACAGCAGGACTGATCTGCAAGAGAGCAGCTGGTATTATTCGCTGTCTGTAAATACTGCAGATATTCATATACAGATCATATTCTTAACATTTAACTCTGCTTGAGGACGCTCTTATCGGGTGGAGAAATAAGAACTGCAAGTGGCAAAATTAATGTATCATATAGGCGTTAATATGTCTAAACCACAACTTTATCTTTTGTCTTATGTCTTCAAATTCATGTCAGTGAGTTTCATCTGTGCATATCATCAATAAACTGTTTTTCTTCACCATGTGTGTAGCTACCTGTTCTCAAATGTGAGCTTAACTATTTGCGACAGAGGACATTTGTTGATTTTTTACACCAGTTCCAGCAGAAACTAGATTGAATTTATATGTTAGGAGAGCCCCCACCTGCATAAACACACACACGTGCACACATGACTAAACAATTACCCTATCCACACACCCTGAAATAGTTTGTGATTTCAGATTCATGTCCTTAAATGGGATTTGTCCATTTCCTTGTTTCATGTCACTTGAAATACATATGTGGCCTGGATGATTTTCTACACAACGCCTAGCTCTTACACATTTTAAAAGCTCGGGTACGGCTGTAATGTAGCTTAAACAATTGCAGTCCGAAGCGTGTTTGCACTAAAAATATTTACACCTTTGCAATCACTGTGGTGTAATATCCCTGTGATGCAGGTGGGAGGTACCTGCAACATTCAAATTATCAAATTGCATATAAAAAGCATACTCCATATTCTAGGGCTTTCATAAAAAAAGGAATAATCCCTGTAGAACAGCAAATAATACAGAGACCCTAACCCTAACCTATGACAAAGCAGGGAAGCACTTTCTGACCCTCGGGGCCACCGTACTTTACAGGTACCATGTATAGAAAAACAAATTCAAATTTTCCACCCCTTTAAGGTAAAGCTGATTCAACACCTAGCAGTAAAAATAGACTAAATTGTGAGGATAGTATATGCATAAAATAGAACTTGTTTCGAGTTAAAAATATGAATGAAAGGACTGTCCTAAAATTTTATGTTAAATCCAAAAAAAAAAAAGTTTGGTTAGCATTGTTTTCATTATTAGACAGCAAGATTCCACCATGTCTGTTTTCCTCAAACTACCAAAAAGTAGAGTCTCTGAGGGAGTTTTAACTCTCAAACAATGCATGCTGGGAAGTCTGCAAACAGGAACTTAATTTCAGTTTAGTGAACTTCAGGTAATTTATTTTCCCCATCATTTCAAGTCAAAAGATTCCAGTCAGAATAACTCACTTGTATTAGAAGTACTGTATATCTGAAGTGGTCTGATAATAAAAACTAGAAATTAAGTTGGATTAAGTTGAAGTTACAAAACCTATATATCCGTGTTAAGCTAATGAAAGATTATATTCATTCCACTTGCATAATGTTTTACAGTGTGTAGATTGTCTGCTTAAGTAGCCACAGTTTGCTATTCTATATATGACTCACCTCATCTAGAAGTGTGCTGGGGTTTTCCACTGTCGGCAAAATTAGATCAGCCAACAGATCAAAGGGAAATGACTTTCCTGGACCTGAGCAATAATTTAAGAAAATACAGAGATAAATTGTAATATTTTGTAATGGATGAATGGAAAAAGAACTAAGCAAGGACATTATTGTGTGAACTTCATGAATCACAAGAAATATAATCTTTTCATTGTGCTCTGGAGAGATGATAGTTCATCACAAAAAAGGCAGCTCAGACAGGAAACTGTCTTTATAATGAGGGTCATACAGACAAGCTCTTACTATACAACCCAGAACATTGCCTGGAAATTAAACCAACCAATTTTTTAGGGGGGAGTTAGATTTGCTGGAAGGTGCCTTCACTACAGTATATCAGGCCTTTACTTAAAAATCTTGGACGTGTTCCACATACTACAACCTTTGGTATAAAATCTTATAGGTGCTTGTAAGTCACAAGAAAAATATGGCCAGAGCCTGGACTGCATCAGTTCAGCTCCATTAGTTCCTTCTATTCCATGATCCCATCTTTTAAGTAATATAAAGCAGAGGCCAGGAAACATCGATAAGTAATCACCAAAGCTTAAAATATGAAACCACCAAAGCACCCAAAGTTTGCATGAACGTGACAGCTGTGTTTGATTGTTTCCCCCTGCTTCGTCCTAGTTCCACTATAATCAAGGACACAATGAGTTGCATCCTTATGGACTAAAGCTTCAAAGTAAGAGAGTAACCTTTCACTGATTAATAAAAAAAATTTAAAAAACTTTTACTTATAGGACAGACATGAAGAAATACCATTCTTATGGGATTTGATGTTGCATTTATGTTTTCCATTGGCGTAAATGGACATAATCTTCTTGCAAAAAGCAACACATACATGGGTCAATAAGAAAACACAACAGTGCATTGTCTACAGAGTTTTGTTGATATACCTTGGTCCAAAATGGTTGAGGGAGCCACCATGATCAGGACAAGGGGTCTACTTCTACTGCCACCTGCAAGACAGTATATATACATACAGTACATAAGAGCTGTGCAGACAAGGAGGGCACAGTGTTACTGATGGAAGCGTCAAAACCCAGCTACGCTAACATTCCACTTAAACCTGTGCTCCCAATGGCAAGAAAAATTACAGCAGCATGAAGTTAGACATGCAGCTGTAGGTATGAAGATGCGTGCTTACAGGTGAGGAAAATAATAAGTTCTGCAATCTGTTGCAATTGACACAATGACAATATATTTTTTTCAAGAAATTTCACAAAAGCAGAACAGCAGCAGTCATTGCCAGCAGGTGCCACATGTGTACTTTACCTGGTGGCGATGCAGTGGTGGACCGTAATGAAGTAGCCTACATTTACTTGAATTTTTTTTGAGTATGTGTAGTTTACTTGAGTAGTTTTATGACTTTTACTCCACTACACTAAAAGGACAAATATTGTACTTTTGACTATACATTTCTCTTTTTTTGTCTTGTGGAAACTGCACATATGTGCCACAAACACACACACACACACACACACACACACACACACACTGCCAGAGCTGTGTCTGAACACTGCAATGCTGTTTTGTAGTGGAAAACAACAATAGCTGTCTCCTTCTGTTGATTCAATTGTGTTTTTATGGCCATTTCTGGGGTTTGTAGTTCATTCTACAAGCTTTTATTCAACAGGTTCTACATATAAGTCAGTGCATTCAGTAGGTTGTTTCAGAGTCATTAGATTCTGTAACTGCACTGTGGAACAATACAATGTGTTGACTTAAAAAAAAACTTTTGAATACTATGAATAAGTACTTTGAATGAGTACAAGTAAGTATATAAAGCAAGTACTCCAGTACTTTAACTCATCAACATTTAACTCATGTGTAGAACAGCTACCTCTTGTGGAGTAATTGCTGCCTGCTGAATGCAAATAAGGGGATTTGTCAATGAGGTACAATCCAGTTCTAGGTATTTCATGTCTTTAAAGGAGGACCTTTAGAATAATACAGAACTGTCCAAGTATATCAGGAGGCTGCATTTATCTTTATTAAATGTACAATTACACTGAAAAAACAGCCTTAAGAAATGCAATGATTTATTCTGCATCAAAATAATGGTAGTTTGGCCAAATAAAATTAAAAAATATTTAATTGACAGTTACGATGTATCTGTGTTATTATATTATATCATTTTATATTATAGTTTGAAATAAGTTTGAGAATGTTAAATGCTTGTGGAATTAAAACCTGGTAAACCTTTAAATGTGTTTGTCTTATTCTAGCAAGTAAGTAGGCTGTATGGCTGTTGTGCTGCCCCCTGGCTCATTGTTTCACTGCACTTAATCTGCAAATGTGTAAAGATTTGTTAGTAGATAGCAGAGCAGATTGTTGTGTGTTGTGTAACTCAGAGCCTTTACAGCTCCGTCAATTATCAACTTGTGATCACGTGTATGTATTTTTTTTATTACCCGCAAGGAACTTCTCTCTAATTTCTGCTTTTGGAGGAGCTGTCAGAGCTCAGTACCTCTCACTGACTGTCCCACACAAAGGGACATATTAGGGACATGGGGGGAAGAAAACCTACAGGTGTACTTGTTCTTCACATTGCATGCCTCCTTTGTGGTGCTGCCCTTTGTTTGGTGAGAAATTGGTTTAGTTTGTTCGGTTACTGTGATATCTAGAAAAACTTGATTTTAACACATTTGCAAATCAATAACATTTCTATTTTATTTCTCTTTTGTTTAGCCCACACCAAAGGTATCAGGTAAGTAATTTTATGTAACAAGCAAGGCACTGACCCAAGTTAAAGTTTATGTTTCTTCAACTTTATTTTTTACTTTTTTATTTCTACTTTAATAGATTATGATGTGGACGGTGGACGGGACCTTGACATTTTTGACATCAATGAAGGTACGAAGACAGGAGGACAAAAAAAGACACATTTCATCCTCATGTTTCTATATAATTATTCAGTAAACATTGTTTTCTTTGTCTCCACAGAGGCAGGGTTGAATCTTGTAGAGGGGGACATTGTGCTCGATGAGGTATGTTCACTTAGCTGTTCTTAATTTTCCCCTGCACAAATGAAATTTGTGAAGACGGTTTAACCTTGACTCATTTTTTTGTTCCAATCTTTGTCATTGCTTTTATTGAACGCTGCAGAGGCAAACTCGAAATTCCATAATAGGGGATGAGTACAGGTGGCCAAAGACGATCCCATACTACATGGAGGATGACTTAGGTAAGAGTGCCTGTTACAATGCTTGCAGAAAAATGAAGAATAAGTAAGCTCTCAGGAGGAATACAAATGGATTTATACAATATTTTCACATATATTAATTAGAATGTAATCTTCCTGTAAGAAGTGAGTGGCAACATTATTCTTATTTTATGACATGTTCCAAAACGTCAAATGACTTTTATAACCACAAAAATTACATCACCATGTAGGATAACATACTGTACATTTTTAAAGAAATGTATTTGTTAAATGCATTGTCTATGAAATAAATATTTCATTTTCTGATGTAATAGCAATGTTTCATGATCATTTCCATATATTTTCACCTTCATGAAAGCTCACGTGAGCATTTTCCTACATATTCAGTTTTAATGTCAGAAGAAAAACAATATTTAAAATGAGAGATAGTTGATTTTGCTATTATTATTATTATTATTATTATTATTATTATTATTATTATTATTATTATTATTAATTTTTCTACACACATAAAATTGTGGGTAGAACCCCAAACAATGAGGGAGTAAAAGCAATGTCAAAACATGACATCCTCCTGATAATTTTGTAACCTACTGGGAAGAATTTTTTCATTATTGTATATCATATTGCGTTACTTCAAAAATAATCAGTCTGTGGTTTAGAGCCGCTTCAGGACATGTGCACCACTGAGTGTGTACTGTATGTGTGATGTTCACCCATTTATAACAGAAGATTGTAGTAAATCTTAAAAGCAAATCGGAAAGACATATTTTCTAAAACTTTAACAGAATTGATTTATCATCTTCTCTGCAGAGATCAATGCAAAAGGTGTGATTCTGAAGGCCTTTGAGCAGTACCGGCTCAAGACCTGCATTGACTTCAAGCCTTGGAGCGGAGAAGCAAATTACATTTCCATTTTTAAAGGGGGCGGGTAAGGCAGACATAGCGTTTATATTTTTATGGTCACCATTTAGATGGCAAGACGAGCTGTACTTTCTCAATTATATAATATATTCTGTATCTTATCATTACAACTAAAGTTCTTCAGAAAAGAAAGTGTAGATTCTATGTGATTCTATGTGATGTTCAGCCCTTTTTTTTTCCCCTAACAGATGTTTCTCCTCTGTGGGAAACCGGCGAGTTGGGAAGCAGAGATTGTCCATAGGGAGAAACTGCGACCGCATTGCCACCATTGAACATGAGTTCCTTCACGCTCTGGGTTTTTGGCATGAGCAGTCCAGGGCAGATCGTGATGATTATGTCAACATCATGTGGGATCGCATCTCAGATGGTAGTGAACCTCTTTCAGCTAAATCATGATCAACTTAAACCCTGCCCATTCATTCTCCCTATTTGCACTTGTACTATTATATAGGAGTGTAAAGCAGCTTTCACACGTTTAATTTATACAAGATTCAAATTTACATTCTAATTAAACAGAAAACTTAACTACCTAGAGGCAGTGCTCAAGAGGTTTCTTATGTAGAACTTGAGGGAATATAAATCACTTCATGCAGCAGTTGATTTATTGCTTTTGTGATAAGCATGTGCATGTGTTTTTTTTCCTAGCTGCATAATTTTCTATAGATAAGCAGAAGTCATTCACATCAAGAAATATCACACGGTGTTTCTTAGCTGCATTGACCTCTGCTCATCAATTTGTTGATAAATCAAATCTATTATAGTCCCACATTAAAGTACAGAGTTCCTTGATATGTCAGCAAACTTTTGTCAAGGCTTTAAACACGTGCCAGCTGTTGATAAGCAACTTTTATGAGAGGATGAGAGGACACGTTATGGCCATTTTTAGTGTTCATCATTTTACATGCTTCAGTGTTCCAAAAAGACATTATTTTTTCTTATACTGTGGAGTGCCACAGGAATGAGTCCTAAAACATGGAAATTAGTTGGCATTTTAGCACATCGTCATTGGCCACAAGATTAAAAACTGTTTTCCTGTCCTTCATTTGAAGTAGTTGTGTGCTGTGCTGCCTGCCAGGCTTGCAGGTGGGCATTGGGGGGACGTACTGAGTCAATACATCTAGGAAGTAAGGTCTGGACCGCCAACAGGATCTGTCTCCCCATTCAAGTCCTACAAAGGATGCGGCCTATGACGGTGTGGCCCTTCATAGTCACTGTAGACCGTAAAGGCTGAACCGAAATGAGACTGTCTTGTCTGCGGAGGATTAAAGCTGTATGTCACGAGCTGTGACATACAGCTTTAATTAATTTCTTTGAAATCCACCCCTGTAGGTGGGAAATGGAATAAGACACTGATGAAAATGAACTGACATTTATTTATGTTTGATCTGCAGGTAAAGAACACAACTTTAACACCTACAATGACACCACCTCCAGCTCGCTGGGCGTACCCTACGACTACGGCTCCATGATGCACTACAGTAAAAACGCCTTTCGCAACGGCACCGAGCCCACCATCGTCACCAAGATCCCTGCTTTCAGTGATGTCATCGGCCAGCGTATGGAGTTCAGTGACAGTGACCTGCTTAAGCTGCACCGCCTCTACAACTGCAGTAAGAGTTAACAACTAGCACTCAAGTTGTCTTTTAAAAGAAGCGTGGTGTCAGCTTGAATTCCTTTTTTTTTTTTATTCTAATTAATAATGTTGATATCAGCAACACATGCCACTTGCCACATGGAAATATGTGAATAGGCAAACATTGTACTTACTGCAGTTTATAGCAGTTCAAAGTCCTTCACCTGAGGATGTGTGATTATGATTTGTCCACTAGGCCAGGCCTCCACCTTCCTGGACTCATGTGACTTTGAACGTGAGAACATCTGTGGTATGGTCCAGGGACAAGGAGACAAAGCAGACTGGGTCAGGGTTGCCAAAGCTGCTGGAGGGCCTGACACTGACTACTCCAACATGGGCAAATGCACTGGTGAGAATTACCTTTGGAGGGATATGCATGACATGCGGTGCAGATACATGTCTTTGCATTGAAGGATAGGTTCACATTTTATTCAGATCCATCTTAAAACAATACTCACATGCTTGTATGTACATCAGAAAAGTCTTTGGTCGCTGCAGTTGTTCCTCTGTTCCCCCATCTTGGCATTGAAAATATACCTGTCTAATGCAAAAAACAGACTAAATCCACAGTTGTCCTGAAATTCAACATAAGCTAATCTGAGGCTCCAGCAATCTGTGGGATCTTCTAAAGTAGTGGTCTCTTTAGGTATGAAATTCCCTCCACCATAGCTTTTGTTATTATCCCACCACCATAGCTCAGCAAGAAAACACAGCCCAGCAAAACACAGAGGGAACTTTGTACTAAAGGAGGGGATCTCTTCACCAAAACTGATTAAAACTCTTTTAATCATTGCCATATGATAGATTGACCTGTAACATCATCAGTTGTGCACTGTGTAATGTGCATTGAAATAATGCTTAGGTGTTGACTTTATTAATCAAGTGACATTTGGATCTTTAGGTTCGGGATATTTCATGCACTTCAGTACTGGCCCAGCCAACACTGGGGATACAGCTCTTCTTGAAAGCAGGCTCCTTTACCCCAAAAGAGGTTACCAGTGTCTGCAGTTCTTCTACTACAACAGCGCCGACCCCAAGGACACACTGAAGATCTATGTCCGAGAGTATGACAAAGCTAACCCCAACGGAACTCTGCGCTTCATAAAGACCATAGATGGTGACTATTAGTAAATCTTATTACTGCTCAAAATCTACTGTTAGAATTGTGCTGGTAAGATGTTCAACAAATTCTCTGTTTTTACCTCGTGCTTTAACAGGATCCCCTCAGGATCTGTGGCAGCTGCACCACGTGAGTCTAGATGTCAAAACAAAATTCCGCGTCGTCTTTCAAGGGACAAAGCAGGGCTCTGGGAACCCGGCAGGGGGATTGTCACTGGATGACATCAACCTTTCTGAGACCACCTGCCCAGAGTTTATATGGCGCGTGAAGAACTTCAGACAGGTTATGGAAACCACCCCAACAAACACTTCTATCTTCAGCCCCCCATTCACCTCTAAAGAGGGTTACACTTTCCAAATGCAGCTGTACCCCAGCGGAAAGGCAGGCTACCCTGGTGAGTTGTCGGCCTATGCTCATCTGGTGGCCCGTGAGGGGGACACCGGGCAGAAATGGCCCTGCCCCTGGAAACAGATAACCATGATGCTGATGGACCAGCACCCACACATCCAAAAGCGCATGTCTAACCAGCGCAGTGTAACCACTGACCCGAACATGAAGGCAACAGGTGCAGCTACTTTCAGTGTCTTTATGTAAAAAAAAAAAAAAAAAGAATATAAAAATTGTACTGTGATACTAAATTTATAGACCCTTTCAACATCCTTTTAAACAGATTCTAGCCAATTTTTCTGGGATGACCCTCGCAAGGTGGGTTTTGAAGTCACACATACAGATGGGTCCAAGTATTTCCGAGGGCCAGGCACCGGAACTCCAGTGTATCTCACCCAGCTCAGAGCCAAGAGCAGAGATTTTATCAAGGGAGGAGACGCCATCTTTCTCCTCACAATGGAGGGTAAAAGCACCACAAACTTACAAACTTAAAACACAGTAAAACCACGTCCTTCTTGTCATACATTATATCAGTTTCTTATCCATTAGTATTCTGCATACTCATCTCTTGCACCCATACAAACAACATTTGAAGGATCAAGAATACCGGTGAAACATGATTACATCCATGATTAATATACCCACTTGTCAGAAAAACACTACAGCTTATCATGCGACCCAGTCACTGCCTGTTCGTTTCACGTTCATCGATGCCGCTTCACTTGAATCCATTTAACCGCTCTCTCATTTACTGTCCCTCTACAGATGTGTCTCATCTGACTGTGACCCAGCCTCAGCCCTCCACAACTGTACCACCCTCTAATAGCACCACAGAACCCTCCGTACCACCCACTAATAGCACCACAGCACCCTCCGTACCACCCACTAATAGCACCACAGCACCCTCCGTACCACCCACTAATAGCACCACAGCACCCTCCGATCCCTGCTTCAATGTGGAATGTCTGAACGATGGAGTCTGTGTGGTGGACGAGGGGAAAGTTATGTGCAGGTGAGGGCTTTCTGACTGCGCCCACTAAAGAGCTAATGTAACAATAGGTTCACTAATGAACATGTTAAATTATGTTTGTTTTATCTGTACAAAAAAATGCGTCTTGCACATTGTATGTTCTTGGCTTTGCTGTTACTTTTGGGCATAGCCAATCTTGCTGTTTCACCATGTTTCCGGTCTTTGTGCTAAGCTAAGCTAACCACATCCTGGTACTAAAATCATATTAACCATTGTCTTCTTGGCAAGAAAGCAAATATGCACATTACCCAAAGTATCTGTTTAACATTTTTTTCTGGAACAAAATATCAAATATTTGATGCTGGTATCTCAGAACCGCACCTCAGCTGGATGAATCCCTATAAAAGATAATCAGTTGCATTTTAAATCATTTCCCCTCTCATCTTGTCCCACTAGAGTAGGTTCTTCTTATATTTACCTTCCACAATTTTCCCCCACCTTCCATAGTTGCTCTGTATGAGTGCTGACAATACCTGCAAGTTTGATTTTTCTCTCTTCCTCATCTTCCTTTTTCTTTGCTCTCCAGGTGTGCGGTGGGTGATGACTGGTGGTACTACGGGGACAACTGTCAGTACAAGGGCTCCGTCATGGATAAAACCAACCTTGCACTTGCCTCTTCTCTGTCTGTACTGGGAGTCATGCTGGTGGTTACTTTGGTCAGTGTCATCTGTGTGAAGAAGAAGTACAAGAAACACAGTGATGGCAACAGTGTTGTCATGGCAAACATTTATAATACAGAAAAATTGTAGAGGGAGATCCGGGACTCTCCTGTGACAACTCTGTTAGGAGAAGAAAACAGCAACAAAAAAAGAAGACTTTAAATAAAATGAATCAATATTTTTCTGCTTAATGTTTGTGCTAAATATCTTGTAGAGCAGGCTTTGGATTTATAGATTAAACTCCAGTGCTAAAATGTAAGACATAACATATTATAGAGCATAATATAATATGAGATTGCCCTCTTCTGGTCATTCAATGAAAAAACAATACAGAAATGTGACAATATTATGTTAAATAAATTATTTTGAAACTAAGTTTTTTTATCAGTGTCTGAACAACACATTGTAAATGAACAAACATAAAGCTCATTCTTAAAAACAAGTTCCAGACAGGATGACTTATATTCACAAATTTAAAATTTATTATACCAAAGACAGGAACATTTGTGTTGTCTCTTTTCCATGTGGATATATTTGTATTACTGAACTTGACACAGTCATGCCGGTGATAACAGTTACTGTAGGAGGGAGGTGAGGTGGAACAAATATTACCTGTGCGTGGCAATGTATGTGTGTGTGGTTGTATCATTGTGCGTGTGTGTGTGTGTGTATGTATGTGTGCGCATGCAAATGTGCATGCAAAGATCTGTCTATAGTGTCATTAAGTGTTCATTAGATAAAGTGATGTCATATTGTGTGGAATGTTTGGGTTTCAGACCTGCAATTGCACATAAACATTTCTGTGTGTGTGTGTGTGTGTGTGTGTGTGTGTGTGTGTGTGTTTGATATCTGTGGGTCTACACTGTAAGATAAAGGGGGGGTGACACCTCCATAACAGCAAACTCTTGGTGAACCACACATTATCGTCCCCACCATTAAAACTTTCACCGACATACAGGTGCGCAGTTCCTTTAAAAGCATCAGTATACAACATTTGTCTTATTTACAATCATTGGAAAAAAATCACCATTTCTCTCAGAGAAGATTAGTAAAAGTGACTGAGTCACCATAAAGAGTATGCAACTCCTAGGAGTTAGTATTTCAAATTTCTACAAAAAATTTCTATGCCATTTTACAGGCCAAGAGCCATGATTTACTGAAGAAATACAGTATTTTAAGTGCCCTATCTACAACAGTTAAGTGTGGTATTACTAGTGTACCATTCAACATAGTTCACTGATAATAAAAAGATTATGTGTCTGTTTTTAAAAAGTTCTTTCAGCAACATCTCTGCTTTCACATTAAAAGATATGGTAAGTTCTTACAAAACAAACAAACAAACAAACCATGGAATTGTTATCAATATTAACAAGTGTTGTGGCGAGCTAATGCTATTGCAAAGAGACTAGTGTTGATTACATACTCAGCTGGTTGTCTAATGTAAAAACAACGTTCCACAGTCTGTGAGAAGGGCACGACCATGGACACCAGGAGCTGTGTCCACAGGCTTTTCATGAGGGTCGAGTATCATTAAAGGGCTCATTTGCTTGTTTTATTCTACGAGTTGCTCGGGTAAAAACAGGTGGAGCAGTTACAGTGCATGGTTCTCCATGGATGAGGCTGTGTAGAGCTGGAAGGCTTTCATGTGCATTTTACAGCCTTTTGCGGACACTCATTCTGCTTGTGACCATTTTTGGGAAAATCAGAGCGGCTACGGTCTATGTAGGGTTCTGTGCATGCTGCCGCCGAGAGGGAGATGAGGCTGTAGTTGGTGGTGTGGCTGTTCAGAGAGGGGTGTCATAGTAGTCTGTGGGCTGATCTGTGCCAGGCGGCTTCTGCTGTTTCTGCTGATGCTGCTTCATGATTTCCTTCACCTCCTCCTCCAGCTCAGGGGGGATGATGAACTGGTCGTCTGGGTCGGGCTGGGCTGGAGCGGTGAAGTAGCCCCCGGATTTCTTAGAGGGAGCGTCAGCAGCCACCTCAATAAGGTTGTGACTCTTTTCTTGGCGGGCCACTGACCCATTAACCCTCCTCTTGCCTGCCAACTTTCCTCCATCCCCACCTACTGCTCCGACTCCCTGCCACGACTCGTCCCTCTCCAGCCCGTTCTCAGCCTCACCGAGGCTCATGTCCACCCCTTCCTCCAGGGGCTCTGGGGTGCATGGTGGTGGGGGAGGCGGAGGAAGAGTCAGCAGGGTGCGCTCCTGGCTGGTGGATGAGGGTAATGATGTTTGGGGTGACGAAGAAGAGGAGGATTCTGCTTTGAGGCAGTGGACATCCGCCTCTACTTCCACACGGCTCCCATTAGAGAAAACTCCAGCAATGGGCTCCTCATCCTCGCTGTCCAGCCCGTTGTCAGACAGGGCGCTGGAGAAAGTGGCACTAGACAGCTGCCTCTGGAAGGATCCTGCTAAGCAGGCAGGATGGAGGGCACAGCAGCTGCGGGCAGAGGGCAGCTCTGAACCCGGGAACAGATACTGACAGGGCTGGGTGCTTGTGTGGGTCTGCTGGTGCTGTAAGGCCAGCGAGTGGGCCTGATGGTGCAGGTGGAGATGAGGATGGTGGGTCTGATCATGCAGCAGCACCAAGGAGCTCTGCGGTGGTTCATCAGATGAGGCTGTAGAGCCCACCTCGCTGCTCATCTCGCTGGTACTGATCTCACTGCTGATTTCACTGCAGGAGGAAGGGGGCACAGGGAGGGAGCCATCTGAAGGCCGCTCCTTGATGGCGGAGGACGATGGGGGATAGGGGCCCAAGCCCGGGCTAGGAGGCGGCTGGGGAGGCTCAGAGCAGCAGCAGGAGCAGCAATCTTCACTCACACTGAGCTGGACCACAACAGCGCTGAGGCTGTCGGTGCAACCGTATCCCTGCGCCAGCGTGCACAGCTTCTTAGCAGCAGCCAGGCCGTCTGGGACGTTTCGAACAGCCTCCACAGCCTCAGTGGGAGACACAGCATCCCACAGGCCCCGGCTTCCCAGAATGAAAAACTCATCCTGGGGGGTGAGAGTGACTGTCTGCACATAGGGACAAGGGATGACGGATGGGTAAAGGAAGGAGTAGCCCATGATTCGTGTAGAATCGGTCACGCCATTCACCTTGTTGTCCTATGGAAAAGAGTATAAAAGTCAATATAGTGATTACATGAATACACTTGACAATCACTTCCATTGATTCATAGTTTGCTTTGAGGACCTTTACCTCAGTGATGATAGCCCTATGCTGCCGGATCCGGCGGTATTCCTCCTCCAGGCCTACATTGTGAAGCAGGGACAGCGACAATGGCTTACCATCGCGGCACAGGATGGCCTGGCACTTGCCTACGTTAGCAGCTGTGAGGGTGAAGCAGCCCCCGGGGTCAGTGGGGTCATGGCGAATGTGACACAGAGCTGCCGAGCCACCGAGTTTCTGACCCGCAGTCCCTAGTTTCCTGCAGAAGCAGAAGAAAGAGGATATGGGGGGAGGGGGTTTAATTGTACGGATTATTATTTTTGTTTTAGAAATTAAATATTTGCATCATATAATAGATGTTTTGTAAATAAGAGAATGACAGATGAAATGACGAAAAAGCATAAATATGCCTATCACGTACCTTTGCATGACAAGGAAGGTGTTGGTCATGTAGTCCTCTTCGCTCTTGGTCTTGTGCAGTTCTTCAGCCAACACGTCGTTCATCGTGCACTGCAGAAGGTAGGGCACTTCCACATTCCTGTCCCCATCAAACACACCGTACAGAGCTTCACGACTTCCACAGAAACTGTTTACTGACAGAGCCGCAACGCACAGTCTGAAAAGAAAAAATGACAAACAAAAGAAGGCCATAGCGTCATTGAGGCAGCGCTCTGTCAGGAAACAATGGGGCTTCAAAGACATAATCACTCCTTTGTTCACATATTGATCATACTACTTCACACACTAATAACCTTGGACACAATGCTTTATATCTACGATTCATTGACTGTACAGCAGAACCACCATCATTACCGCTTGCCTATTGAACATCACTTACGTAAATGGAAATATGGAATCAATATGTACAGTACAATTGCTTGAATGGCTTCTTTAGTCTGTACATTACAGTGTTGAATTGGAAGTTAAGTTTTGGCATGTGAGCATGCACGATTCATGTTTTCAATATTCCCTTCATTTGAGTCATCTGGCTTTAACAGTGCTCATTCTCAAGAGGTTTGGTTAAGTGAGGCTTCATTGGACGAGTGTGATGGTGGTTGTTGTTTCACCATTGTCTGAACTGAACCCACTTGTTCTTGACGCCCGAGGCTTCTGTGTAACCATGACTCCACACAGCAGGCCCACCAGACGCCTCATTCGACGAGAAGGTTGGAGGCGGATCAATACGGAAGCAGCGAATATTACTGGAAAACAACAAAACATGAAAAAGATCAAATACACTGTATCATGGCGAAGCATAAGGTACATAAACCACTGAGAGGATTCCATTCTGGCCATTTCCAAAAGACTATCAACTAAATGTATAAGACAATATTAAACATGAAAGACCTAAATACAACGTGCAAAATGCAGGATGAAGTTACACAAAATACAAGTTGTGGTCACTCTTCACAGACCTACAATAGTCCTGCATAAAACGCAAAGACCTGCAGAGAGACAATGACTTACTTAAGCTGCTCGAGGGTCTTGTGGTCCAGATTGAGACGAGGATTTCCAGTCAGGTCAAGCTCCTGAAGCTTTGGAGGCAGATTCTCTGGAAGAGTGATCTCGCTCAGCTCATTACAGCTCAGATCCACACACTGACAACAGAGGACAAGATGTCAGTACTCACACGAATGCATTTGCAGTACAAACTCAGCGGCCCGTAGAGATGTGCTATTGCTACTGGCTTACTTTCATCTCCATCAGCTGCATGACCTCCGGAAAGACCTCGATGGCGTTGGAATGGGCGATGAGAGTGTGCATTCGCCGGCAGTTCATGATGGTGGTGGGCACAGTCTTTAGCATGTTTCCACTAAGGTCCACCTCCTCCAGCTCCTCCAACTTGGCCATTTTACTGAAGGATAAGACAAAGCAATGGGTAAGCTGAAGTGTGTAAAAGTGTGTAAAGTGCTGAAACAAACAATCGATTAGTCAAACAACAGAAAACCTGAGAGTACAAGTAGCCTGTGGATGCTGACTAACTATATAGAGAATTAGTGATAGGTTGGTCAACATGTTGACTCTAAACCAGTTGGAAACCACCAATTTGTCATTTGTCCGGTAAAAACTGCTGCTTTCACCAGCTTCAGTGAGGAAACGGTGATACTGGAGTGTAACATCTGACTTCTT